AACCATCCAAAACTTCCCTTAAATGTCTTCACGTCTTTTCAAAAGGAAAAAAAAAATCTTATTTCTTTATTCCAATGTTGGCTGCAAGGTTTTATTTTCTCCCTGCATTCCCCGAGGCCCTCCAGCTTCCTCCAAATGACCAAAGGCATGCTCATGACGTTAACCGATAAATCTAAATTGCCTGTAGGTGTGAGTGTGTCTGGTTGTCTATACCTGTTAGTATAGTCCTGATAGGCTGGTGACCTGTCCAGATCTGGTCAATGTCAGCAGGGACAGCATCCAGCCCTTTCCATTTGGATAGATAGTGTAAATTATGGATGGTTGGTTGCTTCCTTGGATGGATGGATGGATGGATGGATGGATGGATGGATGGTTGGTTGGTTGGTTGGTTGGTTGGTTGGTTGGTTGGTTGGTTGGATTGGAGGATAGAGGATGGTTGGTTGGTTGGTTGGTTGGTTGGTTGGTTGGTTGGTTGGTTGGTTGGTTGGTTGGTTGGTTGGTTGGTTGGATTGGAGGATGGTTGGTTGGTTGGTTGGTTGTTGGTTGGAAGGATGGATGGATGGATGGATGGTAGGTAGGTAGGTAGGTAGGTAGGTAGGTAGGGGTCATTCATTGCACCTATACCAAGAATCCCACAGTCCACCTGATACTAAGATTGTAAATCCCAAAGTCCACCTGTATCAATCATAAACAGCGGCGTGACTCTCTCACAAATGAAGTTTAATGTTAGTTTATGAAGGACAAAGACACCTACTGATTGAATCTATGTCTCCTACCACCTTGAAACCATTTGCAATGAGGTGGTTCATTAAAACAAATCTTCCCTCCCAGTGCTCCTTGCATTGCCAAATGCTGCCTACCTTCCGCTGCTGCTGGCCAAGCTCTGCCTCCATCACCACAGCCTCCTCTTCTGTCTAGTCTAAAAGCTTGTCCATACTCCTGTGGGGGACTTTACAGTGCCTTCTCCAGGAAGTCATCGCATGCTGCTTAAGTAACCCAGGGAGCACTTAAAAGCTGAGCCTTTAGTGCCAAGAGTAACCGCATTACCTTTGGCAGTACTTCTGGCAAGCTAATGTCTGAGCATGGGCCAGTAGTGTTGGGGAACATGTAAATGTAGTGGGATTACATTTGTCTGTAACAGGGCACTGTTATGTGTAAATGTTGCTTATTTCCTTACTAAATTACCAGTTCAAATCAAACAATAATCATTGCTTTATCTTATCCAAGTATCTGAATAATGAGAGGACAGAATAACAAATCAAATGAGTCTTTGAAGTAGTTTTCTGACTTCCACCTGATTGAAAGTTGCACCCCTGTCTTTTACTGAAGCCCCCTCTACTCCATCATAACAACCTCCTATTCAGCAGTAAAGTTACTGCCGTTATTGCAATGAAGTTGTGGTGCACCCAAGGTGATAGTACTGAGTAATGCAAAGAAATGTAACCAGTAGTACTTTGAGCATTGAGCAAACTTGTAACATTTCTGAAAAGTTACTTAATTTATAATACTTAACTTTTTGAAAAGCTTTCCTAACACTGTGCACCAGCAGTACCATGATGGATGATAGCATGGAGGAACAAGACAAACAAATTCAAAGTGTGGACAACATGTCGGCTTTTACAGAATGTCATGTACCCTTCATAAATCAGTAGATTCAGGGAGCAGCAGAGTCACTCTTTCTGCTCTCACAGCAACAATCAGACCTGCATACCTGGAAAAAGTCTCAGGTAACACCAACCTCTTTAGTCAGACTCACCTGAGGCGAAAACTATCACGGCATCCATCATCACATTTCTCTGGAGATACTTGAGACCATACTGTGCCAGGGGAAATGATGGTTTCTGTGAAATGTTCCTAACTTAATGGCTAAGATACAACATACCAATCCACCTACGCCTCTCAAAACAATGCAATAATCTGACACTGTAAAGCTGACACTGTCCCAAACCACCTTAAAAAATTAAATGCTGAGAATACTAGACTGCTCTGGTTTTTGGACATGGTGCAAAAAACACTGTTAGTGGTCGCTGGCCTTCACTGGAGTAAACAACCCTACCATATGGGGACCTTGAGACTTTGAGTATGGTCACCTTCCCCATGGATGAATGTCAAAACACAGCCTGGGAATGAAAAAAAAAGGAGGAGAAATAGAGGAGAGAGAGGGAGGGATGGATGGAGAACAAAAGGAGACACTGAGGGATGGGGGTGAGAATAGCATAGATGGTGTAGGCTGTTGTGCTCCTCATTATCAAACAACAAAAGTGGTAAATATCCCTTGGTACCTTGGTAATGTGACTAAACAAAGAGCTCTTGGGGAATGAAACGCACCTCATCGGAAACTAGATGACCTTCACTCATGGAGTACAACATACATCAGGGCTGTTTGTGGCCACAGGGACTTAATTCATGGCGTTTCTTTTAAACCTTAACCATTTAGTATACCGTACAAGCTTTTACAAGTTACGCCTTCATCATTTGTGGCTTTTTATTATCTATTTGAGAGAACTTCTACAGTCAAGGGACATTGATGATATTTTTTTTTTAGGGTCAGCATCAGTTTTTTTAAGCTTTTTAAAATTACCCCATTTGCCCTTGATGATCTGAATCAGTGCACCTTTTAGCTTCAGCTTCATGAGTGTAAATCCTACGTTTTATGTACAATTTGAAATTTTTTTTTTTTGGTGAATTTGAATACTTTTAATGTATCCCTACCACCCTTTATAAATGCTGTTGATGGACAACTTAAGGGACCATTTAACAGCAAATTCAAGGAGTGCTCATGCCACCTTTTTAGGTACCTCAGTGACCAGTAACCTACCTCAGTTTGGTTTCTCTGTTAAGGGCAGAGCTGACTGCAGTCAGAAAAATGAATCATGGCAGAGTTCATTTTTAAGTGTTTACATCTATTTGATTTTATTTAAGTATTTTTTTTTAGAATTTATTAAATTCTTTATTTTTTATTAATTTCTTAAAATTAGCATAAATCTGTAATTCTAAAAACAATTCAATCAGTTAAAACGTATGAATATAGGTTAAATTTAATGAGCTGTGGATCAACCAAGATTTATTTAGTTAAAATTTATGAAACAGAAACAAATTGGAGTTATCAATGTTGAATACATAAATCTGTCATTGTTTATTCAAGACAAATTGGGTTCAATGATATAATTACATATATCTAACTCTTAACTGTGTCCTTTATATCTGACTGACAAATATGCAGCACATAAAGTTTATTGGCGTGTTTATGTTAAATATGATAAATTCAAATGGATGGAAATTTTGTATGTAATGAGGCCTAAATATTTCTGTGAGTGTGGCATACACGGTGGCTAGTAGCCTACACTTAATGACATGCAGCAACCTCACTTCAAAAACAGTGAAATATTCCTTTAGACATGTTGTGACAAAGAGTGCTGGGTAAACACAAAGAGGGTAGGGGGTATTGAGGGGTGATCAGAGAGACGGGGAGGCTCCCCCTGTATCGATTTCTGTGGACTGTGGCTGAGCAATTTCCCTCTGCTCCTGCATTATAAAGTCTTTGCAGGAAAATAATCAATGTGCAGAGATTCTTGCCTACTTGTTAGTGCATACATCTTTTCCTGCCTGCGGTTCATTGCCTTATTACACCTGACACATCTGGCAGGAAGACAGCAATCGTCCCAGACAGTGTGCAATGGATTATACCAGCTTCAGCAGTACAGAGTTTTTTCAAGGGGAAATGTTGTGAGGTAAGCAGACCGCTCTGCCATTGCAGAAGCTGTTGCCTGTAAATGCAATATAAACACTAAACATACAGTCAAAATGCTGTCTCATTTGTAGAAGAATCACAATCTTTTTTGTGTTTTTGTCATCTTTTACCATTCAATTTATGTATAAAAGGGCCTGAAATAGTAAAAGACAAAATTCACATTGATGCCTTTTTATGATAAATGAAAACAAGCAAGACTATCTCTGATTAAACTGACAGGTTTTTTTTTTTTTCATTTCAAATACCTGAAACCTTTTGAGAGGGGCTTTTAATCAGCCATGAAGTGGCAGGGACAGCCTGTTTTTACACTTCTACATCAAATATCCACAAAAAATAATGCACTTGACTCTCTCAAGTTAGCAGGTGACTTTATTTAGGGTGACCATACGTCCTCTTTTACCCGGACATGTCCTCTTTTTTGCCGGCTGTCTGGCCTTGTCTGGGGGAGTTTATAAAATTCTTCAAATGTCCGGGGTTTTGTATGGAAGTTTTGAGTTTGTGTTGCATGGGCTAACTGAGTTACAAGTGCGTAAAAACACTCGACCTGACCTGAAAAACTCAGAAAAACAACAAAATTTACTATGTGTGACTCCGTGACTCCACCCCATGTAGCAGTGTCCTCTTTTTGGGAATTCAGAATATGGTCACCCTTCTTTATTTTTTTTAGAAGACAGTACTTAAACATCTAGAGGACAAAAAACAATGCAAACCAAACATTCCTCAATAGAGCTTTTATTTTCGGCTCTATTTTGGACCTTCTGGATCTAAATTACTTTGATGTATGAAAGGGAAAGTTGATAATTTATCCTGGCAATTTCAGTCAACATTAACAAATCTGTTGTAATAGCTGCAACACAATCTAAAAGGGAATATTTTAGCTGTCTTTGAGAATGTTAGGGACCCTCCTATGATGATAAATGATTTAACTAAAAGTGTGTGCAACAATTTGATAAAAACAGCACAAAAAAAAAAAAACTGCTTTTACCAACAATAGAGGCATGACAGTAAAACTGAAAAACCAACGAAGTCACACACATCACTTCAGAGTAAACATGCTCTTCTGCAGGAAACAGAAGTTGATTGTTTTTTATCTGCTGGTACATCTACTGTAGTGTCAACTTTTTTTCTAGTCCTCCCCCAGTCAGTTTCGTTGTGGTATATAGGTTGTGGTATATATTCACAGACACACTGTGTGAACACTTGTGTTCATGTAATGAGTCAGCATATAGGTTCTGTTACTGTTCATAGAGAACAGTAAAGGCTGAGTATAGGTGTAGATTTACGTCAGAAATAGACGTAAATCTACACCTATACTCAGCCTTTACTGTTCTTGTCATGCCTGCATTTGTTAAGCTTCCTTCTTCGGTCAGCTTGCATCCTGATCTCAGAGTTACGGGGGATTTCTGGTCATGAAAACTGAACATGTTTATAATTTACTCTGTGAAGTTGGGGTGGATTAATCCTGACTCTGTCTTGGCATGTACCCACATAGGACTAAGTCAGTTACAGTTACATTGTTGTCACTAAGATGAGTAAAGGGTTAACTCTGATCAAGTACATCTCAATCACACAAATAAACAAACTGGTCAGGCAGCAACAGAGCAGCAACTCTTGTGTCTTTCCAAGGTTAAATAACCGTTTTTGTAAATGGAGTCAGAACTGGAGGGTTTGCTGTGAAGAGGTGAGGTGTTTGATAATAGAGCTGTTTGTGCGGCTCTAAAAAAAACTCAAACCCTCTTTCTTTTGCAGCACTTTCTGTCATGCTGGCCCCTCTGGAACAAAGAGATGAATAGGAGAAGAATAAAAAACACATCAGGTCTGCTTCCAGTGAAAATGCCAGGAAGATTGCCTCATAAAATCTCTTGTTTCTGCCCCTGAAGAAATCTACCAGAGAGATTCCCAAACTTTCTCTATGTGTTGATGATTTAGACCCCAATATATGGACAAGACTTCTCTTTTTTTTTAATCTGAGTCAAAACTGATTGACTTCAGTAGTCACAATGGAAATAAGACCACTTTCATTGGAGAGGTGTTGCCGTCTGCTTGTCACTCTTGGCAGCATTGTATTTTGGTTGTTTTGACACACTTTCCCTCCATTCAGCAGATCCAACTGATGATTTTAAGCTCTCCAAAATGTCATGACACACCATCTTTTCCAGAAGCACCATCATGTGATCTTGTCATTCATACTACATAAAGGAAATGTACAAACAGATAGTTGTTGCTGTTTGAACAAGCTCACTGACTGAACCATAAAGAACGGTCTTGTTTTCCTGAGTGTCTCTTGACTCCATCAGACCATTGAGTGCGTCTCCACACAGACAGCAGTGATGGAGCAGATGCTGTTGAATGAAGGGCCCTGTCAGGACCAGCGGTCTCAGACAGGCCCTCCTTTCTTTTGGAGACTCTCTGTGCTTTCTGAGAGCCCCTCAAGCCATGCAGCCTCTTCCTCGTCATCTGTCGGTGGCAGACGTCAGGTCAGCTCAGAGAGGCAGCAGGTGGTCTGTAGTGACAGTCGCTCTCTACGTTTCTGACTGACTGAACTCTTGATGTGCTGAACTTCTAAGAGTCTAAGCTCAACTTGGTACCATAAAGAGAATCTGTGCATCTCAATGCGTCTGTACCTGCTCTGAAACTGCCACTCAACAGCTGTTGATCTAATTTGACAGTAAAAAGTCCCCCGTCTTCTTCAGGCTAGAGTGCAAAGTTCTTGCAGCTAAGTTGCTTTGGGATTATGTTTCAGGACTCACAAGCTGTGTTTTTTTCATGTTCCCACTATTTAATCAAGCATGAAACCATCCGGTCAAACTCCAGATTGATTTCCCTTTGAGTCATTCTCTCTGCACCAGCTGGAGCACTTTTTCTTTGTCAGAGGATCAGACAGAACATGTAACACAGTCACACAGTTAAGATGACATGACGGGAAATGACTGCTTAAAAAGTGTGTGCGAGGAAACCTCATCTGCACCTCTGTAATCACGACTTTATAGCTGTACACCGGGCCCCTTGGAGAGGATCAACGTGACTGAACAGGCAGAGCTTCAGTCTGTCTCAAATACTTAGGTAGATATGCTGAACTAACATACAGGAGATGCTTACATTAAGCTTTTAAGAGACCATTATGGTTCCTGTGGTCATTTTTTTAACACGGGACACTGCAAAATATAGATAAATACAGAATTTGATGGTTTGCAAAATCAAATGATACAACAACTTTTCTATAGCTTACGTGATAAGGATTTAAAGGTAGGGTTGGTAACCAAACTAGCATGAATTTGAATGTCGCGCTTTGTCTAGCCCTCCCCATCCCCTTGGAGCTCCTACAAAACATCGCCCCCGCTCACATATATGAGCACTGCTCTCCGCTGATTCAAAACCACAGACTCAAAACTTTGGGACTAAAGTTTGGGAAGTCTTTGCACAGCAGGGACAAAGAAGGTAACGTTAGCATCAGGATGATCACATAACTAGCATCATGGCTAAATACTTAATCAAGATTAGAAATCGTCTTGAAACAAACCCTCAACGTACCTTTCCAATAGAAAATGAGCGACCATGGCATCACTTTTAAAGCCCTTGACCTCTTTCAGTTCAGCATCTCTGTCCCGATGTTGACTTTCTCCAAACTCTCTTGCTTCTGCCTTCTCTGCCTCCGTCTTTCTTTTCTCGCTCTTTTTTGCATGAGGAGCGGTCACCATTAATCTGCCTTTCTCTAGCTCAGCTATGCGCAATGAATCAGGGCCAGTGCATGCCGGCGACATGTACGCGCAGAAGGCGAGCACGGGATTTGATTGGTTTAAAAATGTGGGACCCACATGATGTGATTGGTTGGTGCTATCCCAGTTTTACTCCTGCTGTAGAAAGCGGCAAAGTTTGGCTCTTTTTTAAGAACACATCATGAATTGACTAACAATGGAACATAAAGATCATTTTAACCAGAATAACAAAAAGTGTATCTGAGTCAGATTACCAACCCTACCTTTTACAGCTCAACAGTTCAGGATCTCCACTGGCAATATCTTTTTTTATATTTTATAATGCGCCAAATGCGTCACAAGTCAAGACTGCAGACAGACCAGTTTAACTCATCTAATTCGGAGCCATGTTGTCCCTATATGTGCGGAATGTGGTTTGGCATCATCTTGATGTCATAAACATTGTCTGGATGGAAGCATGTGTTGCAAAATCTAATGGGAGATCATCAGTGCAATTGCTAAATAAAAAAGGACATATCTGCAACTTGAAGAAAAAGGACATTTCCCTTGTTCTTCATTTAATACATGTACTACCAACAGATCTTGGATATGTTCTCTAAACTACACAGTATACTTTTTGGCATTGTTGTGAACATTTCAAGTCACATAACATGATAATAACTCTTACGTAAAAGTCATTTCTCATTATTCTTGGTCAATTAGAGTCAGCAGGGTGTACTTCAAGAATGAAGAAGTGCTATTTGTCTGTAACTCAAAGCAGGAACCAGCATGTAAACATGTGTTGCAATAAACCAGTCTGCTGCAGCTATGCGTGCGATGAAGCAACACTTCTCAAAACACGATGAGCGGGAAGAAAACACCAGGCTGCTCCCTCCGCTCGGTGATTGTCTTGTTTCAGTCACACGGGGTGACAGTCTTGGAGGTTATGCAACACAGATGTACCTGCCTGCTGCTGTCAGGTTGGAGCTGATTAAGGTGTTTTTAAAGATCTATTAGCGGACAGGTTATTTGTCAACACTGAGGTTGTTATATGATTCAAGGAATTTTTTGGACTAATTATGGAGAATAATTCCTACCCCATGACACATTCACATCGTGATCAGCCAAATGATGCCAGACATTTTGCAAGACAAAGATGTGTAGAGTAAGCAGGGAGCAGCTCTTGGGATGGGCTCATGTTACAATGAGAAAACATCTGTTATTTATGGCGGTCTGGGAGGCTTCGGTACTTACCACACCCCGGCTCAAATGACTTCAAAATGACTTAAATGCTGAGAGTAAGGAAGAAGAAAAAGCAAGTTAAAGTTAAGAGCAGCAGGGATCTATTTTGCTAATCATATTGAGTTTCTTCAGTTGAGTTTCGGCTGTTGAATTTAATCAAAATTGGACCTCTAGAATGACACAAACTGATTTAAGCAAGGTTCGAAAGTGAGCTGTTGTGAAAGGCTGTTTTTTGGTCTTCGAAAAGCATCTTAACTCTCCTATTATCCTCAAATGTTGCGAACACATTTTACCCTCAGCATCAATCTGACACCAGGTATAATTGCCTTCAGAAAATGATTTACATGCAGCTGTTGACCAAGATCTTTTGTCAGGAGCTTTGTTTATTTGTTGAGTACATAAATAACTCCTTCAGAATGAAACCTATCAACGATTTGATCTGTTCTCTAGCGCCACCAATAGGCCAAATTTTTAAAGTAGAATTAATGTATCTTGAAAAGTTTTCATACAAATCTTCTCAAATTTACTGACAACCTTTGTGACGACAAGAGGATGAACCCTACTGGTTTTAGTGATGATATGACCTTTCTTGGAGGGAATAGTTGTTTTTTCCCCACCTTGCTGTTATGTTATCAACTCAAAAGTATCAAGTCTGCACCTGTGGGTGTGGGGATGTTGGGTCACACACACAGACAGGCAAGTTTTACACAGCCAACACAGCTTGGGGTCGAATTGACACCAGAAGAACAATATGCAAGTTGTGTACAGCACATTAAAAATATTTCATCCTGATAATTTTATACTAAATCAGTTGTCCCCATCAAATTAGGAAAAGTCATGAAATATAAAGCAAAAAAACAAAAAAACAAACAAATGTCAACTATTATTTTTTAAATTTTAAACATTGAATGGGGTCAAATTGACCCCAAGGATAATAGGAGGGTTAATGTTTATAAAGAAAACCAAGTAGTTTGGGATAACCTGGAATGTAGACATCTAGCTTGGTCCTCATCAAATTAAATGAAATATCCTCAAATACCTCAGTTCACACATTTAGAGATTTTCTTGAAACAAATGGTTTTCTGGAGTCTTGTAGAATTGCCAAGAGACAGACCATCAATTTCCCCCAGGGTTTTACTCCTGGTGTATTTCCATCAAGGAGTTTGCCTTGGATCAATACAGTTTGCGATATCAAACCCTGATCTTGCATGAGTTTCCACAGCAAACTCTGCCCTACCTTGGCACTACATGCAGGAAGCCTGTTTGCTCCATGACGTGCATGTTAACAGAACTTCCACACAAAGAGTTGAGGTAATAGGAGCAGAGGCCACCAACCCCATTACACGAATTACTGGCACAGAAGACCTTCAACTGGCCCTGCATCTGAGATTTA